CGTGAACTCATGGTAAGCACACTAATCTATACAAATGGAAAATATAATTTCTGAATTTTCACGTCAGAATGATGTCGACTGGTGACAGACTAATTATTATGACGTCTGATATTACCTAGATCTGATTGATTGTAAGGTTTGTGTTCATAGATATTTCGATTTTTTTCAATTAGCTAGATTCAAAATAAATTATTAAATTTATTTATTTATTTATCATTTATTTATTTAAATATCAAAATTAATTATTTTTGACTAATTACTCATACAATAACTATATCTACCTATTTTTATGGGCATCACACCACCTGAGAATAAAACTCTTGCGGTGATAAAGTATAAATTATATCGAGTTCTAATCATTATCGCATCAGCCCTACAAACGACCTCTACTCACCTATCTTTTAATTTTAAAGTACTTCAAAACAAAAACTAATTCAAAACAACTTGTAAAAGTACCTGTCAATAATATTGATATCGCAAAGACGATAACCATTCGTCTAAAATTAGATAATTTACTTAAAACAACCTCTACCAAGGATTTTATGTAAATTCTACCAAAATATTTACATTATTTATATCACAGCCAAAATAACCCCAAATAATCTAATCTCTTGTAGGTAACTATTTATTTATTTAGTTTACTAATATCAATTTGTAGTTATATTAAGAACCTAGAGTCCCTCTCTCTCTCTTATGTCAATTAGCTTGTGTTTAATTAGAACTAAGTGTCTCTACCACTATTTTACTATTAATCTGGTCTGTAAATATTTGCTGTTAGCTGACTTTATAAAGAACAAAATGTAGAGTCGCCTTTGCTAGTTACTTTTCTACCTCAATTGCGCGTAGTAGGAAATTAAGTTTTCTAATGCTTTACTAAAGAATTAGCTCCCAATAATACATTGTAAACAGTTTTCAAAGTTACTTTCCGTATGTTAACCATAAGAGCCAAATCTCGGTCAAAATTTAATAAAGACATTCTATTCCATCAAAGTAAATCTAAACAAAAAGCTATAAAACCTAAACGTAGCATTCAAACCCAAACGCATTCGCATCAACTCGGACGCGGAAGGGTTAACTCAATGTTACGCTACCGCATGAGTCAGCCAAGCGCGAGCCNTTCTGATTTAGTTGTAAAACCAATTAATGCATGCTCAGCGTTAGATATGAGACTGTGAGCAATGTTTTGATGCATTTAAAGATAATCTTGATATAATATTTTGCATTTCTATTATTATGACTAATATGACTATGCAATATCTTCTGCTGGCTCTGTGTTTCATTATTATTATAACTAGCGACGATTATTACTGCTTCGCACAGGTAGGTACAATTTATCCTTAAAAACTCTCCTCTTGAATTACTCTATCTTTAACCCTCGCTGTACGAGGTGGGGTGTGACACACCCCAGTCATTTAAAAATAGCCACAATTTTAAAAATTTTCAAGTGCTGAATTTGAAATTCTCAGTAGCTGGAATTATGACACTGCTGCTTCGATCAGCGTTGCAAAATCAGTCCAGCGGTAACTACCAACTGAGTTACATGCCTTTAAAATGCGTGTGGGTGTCACACACCCCACCTGGTACGGGACGTTGTTAAAAAGTTTAAAAAAAAATCTTACAGTTTTGGTGTAATTTATATATTTTTAGCTTTTTCAATTGAATAAAATTCAATACAAATATTATTTTTCGTGATTTTTACGGTATCTGAAATTTTCAAGCACTTTTAGTCAAATGATATGACTTTTAGTGCGAATCTGGAAGTTTAGTACTGAGATCCGAAGATGTATGTGAACATACACTTGTGGGCTACAATTTATACTTGGTGATACAATTTATGGGCTACTGAAATGGAATAACATATTTTATAAATAAATAAAATTGTTACGCTCCCATTTTATGCATTGAGCATACTCATTTTCTTTCATTAGAATTGTGGTAAATTGAAAACCGATGATCAAAACAAATTTATACCATTCCAATTTTTAATTTACTTTTAAATTATAAGTAAATACTTGTACTTTGTGAAATAAAAACGCTTGTCATAATTAAAGGCACTAATTAAAAATTATACATAGGAAACTGATTCCTAAATTACAAGAACAACGGAAATTGTGTCTTTTTGTTTTCTTATGATAAAAATGTTATAATACATATTTTCAGCTCAGAGCATTTCTTAAACCTAATTAGCATACGTAAATAATCAATATTAAATATTAAATTCCACCTAAAAAAAAGTTGAATGAAAATTTTATCACTTTGTATATTGGGGTGTGTCATACCCCACCTGGTACGGGACGTAACTTTTAGACACCTCGTACACGGAGGGTTAATATTCTGTACAGTCAGCGTCAAATAGTCCATGACACCCAAAGTAGCAAAGAGTTCGCAATACCTCTTTGATATAGATATTTAATTCTATGCAGTGCTTTTTTAATAAATAATGTAGAGTAACTAGCTACCAAACAGCTTAACTAGTAATAGGGAAGCAGTCTGGGATTTGATTGGAATATGGTTATGAACTTTTTTGCCACTTTGAGTGTCACGAACTAATTTGACGCTGAGTGTACTCGTATCTCAAATGACTTGTATAATTTATTATCCAATAACTTGTGTAAAAGGTAAATTTCGGTATAAAATTCTGTGCACTTTCAAAACAATTATATTTAGGACTTACTTGAATAAAAACACAAAAATAAAGCCACCATGATCACCTTTGCTCGATACATGTTTACGTATAATCACGTCAAAACGTAAAAGGAAAATGTATCAATATTCCTCTCTCAGCTCTTATAACAGGTTGGACAATTTGTTTTTAAATCTATATGAATATGTAAATGATGTCCGTTTGTTACGTTTTGACGTGTAAACCTATACTTATAGCGAGAGATTTAGAATACGTAATTATTCCTTTATTTAAACAGTATTTTGACTAAAGGAGCAAAATAAGGATAAAAACAACAATAACAAGTATTTATTGCAACACTTATAAAACTTATAAAAAACTATAATGACTGCTAAAGTATTTAACTAATTTTAAATCAAATTTTGTCGTGTGTCGCGTACCTATGTTTTTTTTTCCTAATAAGTATATTAATAAAAAAGATAAATATAGCTAATAGATTTTCGATTGTCTCAAACAGTGAATATTTCATTCACAGAAATTTCAAATGGACGAAACCATATGATAAAGTTCGTTTAATGTACAGGTAAAACTCTACCTTTTAAGAAAACTGTGAAGCCTATCTCAAGTCCCATGCGTTATGTAACTTGATTGGTAGAAACATATATTTTCCCACTATAGCATCAGTCGATTGAGGATAGATATATCAACAGAATATTATGTCAATAAATTAGTAAACATCCTACACATTTTCAAGATGGTTTACCCAGTCTGCTTCTCTATTACTAGTAAAGCTGTTTGGTAGCTAGTTACTCTACATTATTAATAAAATTTAATGTTTCATTAAAAACAAGAAATTTAGTTGAATATTATTTATTTTAGGAGTAGGTAGATAGCATAACAATGATTGAGGTAGATAAAAAAGAAACATTTTTCGTCGGTTATTTAATTTTCAATATTCATTTCATTAGGCTGGTAACAAAATAGGTACATAAAATACTTAATTATGAAATAATTTTATTTTCTTATTTAAGTTTAAAATAAATATGCGAGTACATTAGATCAATTAACTGCACTTAGATGTACTGCTTTCCTTGTTTGGTTTTAAATCCATTATTTTATTTTTTATTTAAGGCACAGCTGCAGAGAACAAAAAATAACAATCCATTAAGGCTGGGTTTCACCATCTTACTTTGACTTTAACAAACGTCAAAATCTGTCCAACTCCATACAAAAAACACCCGGATTATCGTTATAGTCATTGTTAAAGTTAGGTGGTGCAACTCAGCCCAATTAATTACATAAGTTGCATTGATAATTAATTTACATGTTTTAAAATATATTGACTGTAAAACGTGCCTTTTTCAGGAAAGCCTCGAATATTGGTGCTTTTAACTGATCCTTAAGCGGCGAGCTATTTGTCGGTGTCGGTTCGTAATCTGAAACAATGATTGTAGTTGTATAACAATTTTTAATTTAAAATATTAATTATTAAAACTGCTACTAACTACTCCTCATATTAATTTGTGCTCAACATTCCCACCGCTGCAACTCCTGCGTAGCCAGGATCTACAGTTTGACCAATAATAAAAACCCAACCAGAGAAAATCAAGTTCATCCCGGGGGAATGTTAAACTGTCATTGGACCCGCAACTAAATTAATCAGAAGAACATAGGAGGAGTTCGATGTTATGGTTCGACTTCTCTGCATTGCAAAGCGGCTGACAGGTGACGACAAAGGTTTAGTAAGGCACACTGGCAAGTGTTAGGACTTTACTATACATATAATGGAGTCAATGGCGTCATCCTTGGCAAGTGCAAATGCTAAAGTCCTCCTACCACGTGTTCACCAGTTGGCGCCACTATCATGGCCACTAGCTAAAGTCTGGTCGATGAGCACATAGAATTTCCTCCAATGACCCCAAGCTACCCATCCTTATCGCTCGCGCGTAAATATTTTGCTATCGCGCTCGCACACTCACTGCGGCCGCCCAACGCACAGTCGCGACAGCAATATAATTACGCGCGAGCGATAAGGATGGGTAGCTTGGGGTCATTGGAGGAAATTCTATGTGCTCGGCAATCGGCGCCAACTGGTAGGCGCTATAACAAACAATATCCCTCATTAGCTGGTGGTGTCAAATATCCCATTGGTTTATTGAGATGTCTTTTTTTGGAAAAAAACTAGTAAGTAACTAAGTAGTTTTGTTTTACTTACCGTCAAANTTTACGAACCTCTACCCCTAATGGAGTAAAACGAGGTCCACGCGTACGAAGTCGCGGGCGGCCGCTAGTTATTTATAAAATTAATGTTTTATTAATGTAACCTTGTTGGTGATCAAATAAATAAATAAATAAAATTAGAAACAAGACATTTTTAGTTGAATATGATTTATTTTAGGAGTAGAAACATTTTTATCGTTAATTTAATTTTCAATATTCATTTCAATAGGCTGGTAATAGTACATAAATTATGAAATAATTTTATTTTCTTATTCAAGTTTGAAATAAATATACGAGTACATTAGAGCAAGTAACTGCACTTAGATGTACTGTTTTCCTTGTTTGGTCTTAAATCCATTATTTTATTTTATTTTTTATTTAAGGCACAACTGCAGAGAACAAACAATAACAATACATTAAGGCTGGGTTGCACCATCTCACTTTAACAACGTCAAATATCTGTCCAACTCCATACAAAAAACACCCGGTTTATCGTTATAGTCATTGTTAAAGTTAGGTGGTGCAACTCAGCCTAATTAATTATATAAGTTGCATTGATAATTTACATGTTTTAAAATATATTGACTGTAAAACGAGCTTTTTTCAGGAAAGCCTCGAATATTGGTGCTTTTAACTGGTCCTTAAGCGGCGAGCTATTTGTCGGTGTCGGTTCGTAATCTGAAACAATTATTGTAGTTGTATAACAATTATTTTTCATTTAAAATATTCATTATTAAAACTGCTACTACTCCTCATATTTGAGCTCAATTGGCACCACTGGCAAACGGGACTATTCCCACCTCTCGTTCCGAACGCTGCAACTCCTGTGTGGCCAGGATCTACAACTTGACCACCAATAAAAACCCAACCAGTGAAGGTCAAGAAGGAAAGTAAAACTGTTATTGGGTCCAATGACAACGCAATTAATCAGAAGAATATAGGAGGAGTTCGATGTTATGGTTTGACTTTTCTGCATTGCAAAGCGGATGACAGGTGACAACAAAGTTTTAGTAAGGCACACTGTCAAGTGACAGGACTTTACTGTATAATGGAGTCAATAGAATTTATATAAATAAATAAATAAATAGCGTCATCCTTGGCAAGTGCAAATGCTAAAGTCCTCCTACCACGTGCTCACCAGTTGGCGCCACTATCTTAGCCACGAGCTAAAGTCCGGTCGCCGAGTACATAGAATTTCCTCCAAGGACCCCAAGCTACCCATCCTTATCGCTCGCGCGTAAATATTTTGCTGTCGCGCTCGCACACTCACTGCGGCCGCCCATCGCACAGCCGCGTCAGCAATATAATTACGCGCGAGCGATAAGGATGGGTATCTTGGGTTCATTGATTGAAAATCTATCTGCTCGGCAACCGGACTTTAGTTACGGGACCTTACTCTACAGTGGCACGCAACGCTCTAACAAACAATAGCCTTTATTAGCTGGTGGTGTCAAATAATCCCATTGGTTTATTGAGATGTTTTTTTTTTGTAAAAAACTAGTAACTAGTTTTGTTTTACTTACCGTCAAAAGGTGAAACAGTTACATTCTTTGGCACAAAATCTATTAAAGATGCCCCATCTGCGGTTACTTCAGCGATAACTTTCACAGTTTCATTGTCTGTAAAAAAAAGGCATCAAACATAAGTATACTTACACCCGTATTCACAAACATTACTATAAGGTTTCACAGTGCGCGTGGATGCGCAGGGTGACACACGAACTAATCACAGAGCTCTATTCAACGCTGTGCGTTCGATTTGCTGCTTCACTTAAGCAAGCATCGTTTGTGAATACGGGCGTTATTCTAATCTCAAAGGTACAATCTAATAAGAAATTATAATTAACTTATTGGTTCTTTTAGTCACAGAACTTACTGTATACGAATTCGCAGTTTTCCCCAGTGTTGTTGGCATTTTGTCCACAACTCTCAGACTCAGCTACTATACGCGGACAATTCAAATAGAATTGTAGATCTGAGCCATGTCTGAAAAAAAAAGTATTTCAATATAATAAAAGATACTGGCCAGTATAGTGTCCCAGAAAGTAATGTCAAGCAGAGGTAGAGCATCACTAGGGCTACCCAAATCACCGTGACTTTTGATAGTTTTCGAGTTATGATTTTTTACAACATACAGGATTTGAGTTTACATTCGTGTTATGGATGTAAAAGCTTCTGAATCAGCTAGGCCTAGTATTCATCTAATAATAATAAAAAAAAATCAGGCATGTCCAGCCTAGCCTCTGGGCTTCGGCTTGACACTACTTTTTGGGACACCCTGTATAAGACTATAATAAGACTCCATTGTGATTAGCTTGATTCTGTCTCTTTAGAGGTAATAACTAAGTAAAACATAATTAGACTGGGTTGCACCATCTTACTTCAACTTTAACAAACGTCAACAGTCTGTCACGGTTAAAATTAGATAGTCAACTCAGCCTTAAGTAAGCCATTATAACTGACGACATCATAAAGGTAGCATGAAGGCGCTGCATGCAGGCCGCTACCAACCGCTCAATATGGAAATCATTGGGGGAGGCCTATGTTCAGGATGTTCTATCGGGACTATTCCCAGCTCTCGTTCGCATCGCTGCAACTCCTGTGTAGCCAGGATCTTATTTATTTTTTATTTTATAAAAAAGGTTTACCAACAGCTTATACACTAATACATATAAGATAATTTTAAACTTATTCTAGAGTATATCTTATTCTAAATGTAAAGCCACTTACTGGCGAACACAACTTGCGTTTACATTAAGAAGACTTTAAAAATAAATCCCAAAATATACCATAATTACTATTCTTTGGTTATAAAAAGATATAATATAATAAAAATCTATGTAATGTTTTTTTTTTTTAAATTAGCTAAGCAATAAAAGTAGGTATTAACATTGTACAATCATCTTCAGCTTGACCGCCAATAGAAATCCAACCAATGAAGGTGACATCCTATGGCTGAAATGAGGATGATGATTATGATTGTGAGCCATAATAAAATATTCTTACAATACGTTTCTCCAAGTGCATTCCTTGAGTCCAGTTACTGTGACATTTTGTATCGCGACCCTTTGGCCTGATATTACTGTCGATATTTCGTCTTCGTATATGACATCCGTTGTGTTCATTGAGAATTTGTCAGTATCAATAAAAAACCAAATCTGTGTTTGAGGGGCTACTTCTGTAATAATATTCGTTATCATAATACATAAATAATCATTAATATTATTAAATACACGTACGTATCTAATAATAACAGGACACCTTTTTCTTCCCATATATTCTGTCATGCATGGCACGTTTCTTTATACCTTTTTAGGCTGTTTTGAATCTATTTTTTATTCAGTATTCAGTTGATATTTTAAGAAAATTAAACTATGTACTGTGTACTAAATTAATAAAAGAACTTACTTGAATATAGACACAAAAATAAAGCCACTGTGATAATAACGTTTACACGAGACATGTTTGCGTCTACGGCCTTCAAAACTTAGAAGGAAAATATCACTATATATTCTTTCCCGACTCTTATAACAGCTTTAACAGCTTGGTCATTTGTTTTTAATCTTTATTCATATTTATATGACGAAAATAGTTTTGTTTGTCTGTATTTGTTAGATTTGTTAGAGTCAATTAGAATATCTAAAGATGAGAAGAGTTAAGTGCTGAGCCAAGTGAAGATTTATGTGTGATGTGCTTGTAGGAATAGACTGTTCTTTAAAGAAGACATGCACTTCATTTTGAAGCAAAATAATAGGTAATTAATAGTGTGATACAGGGCAGGAAACATGTACGTCGATATCGGTTACTTATCGATTTTGATAATAAGGCTAAGATGCGACTAGACTTCCCTATCCCAACTAATATTATAAATGCGAAAGTAACTCTGTCTGTCTGTCTGTCTGTCTGTCTGTCTGTTACGCTTTCCCGCTTAAACCTCGCAACCGATTTTGATGAAATTTGGCATAGAGATAGTTTGAGTCCCGGGAAAGAACATAGGATAGTTTTTATCCCGGTTTTTGAAACAGGGACGCGCGCGATAAAGTTTTTCTGTGACAGACAAAATTCCACGCGGGCGAAGCTGCGGGCGGAAAGCTAGTTACCTATATACCTCAATCCGCGCGGACCAAGCCGTAGGCAGGAGGTAGTATGTAGTAAGGTACAGGTAAAACTTATCCTTTCCGGAGAAATCCGGTATCTTTCAAGTACTGCTACGTAAACGTAAAGTCCAAAAATGGCTCATTCCACTAGAAGTAATTAAATTAATTGACAAAGCAAACTTGATGATGACTTAATGAGATTACGTAATCACATTGTACCTCGTGTACGTAACGTACATAGGTAGAGATAGCTCTAGGTACGGAGTTACGAGCAGTACCTCTTTATACAATGGAGTGTCTTTTTATATGACATGTGTATGTTTTATGCTGGGGCAGAAAAGTTCCCGAGTGGCGACCACGAGCCGGAAGACGTAGTGTGAGCAGGCCACCCACCAGGTGGACCGACGATCTGGTGAAGGTCGCGGGAGGGGCCTGAATGGGGCGGCGCTGGATTGGTCTTTGTGGAAAACCTTGGGGGAGGTCTTTGTCCAGCAGTGGGCGTCTTTCGGCTGAAACGAACGAACGATATGTTATGCAACAAAATATCAACTTTAAATAATACACGTGCCAAATGTTGCTTACCCCACGGTATCTTCCAAGTCTTAAGTGATAGTAAAAAGGAATGGATTATACTAATTTCCGTAATGCGTATCCTAATTTAAAGCTGAAAGAAGCCCTTATCAGCCGTGAACAGTGACTGAAAGATTGAATATAAATGGATTTTCTGAAGTTTCCACGATAAACGTATACAAATTTGGTCGTTGGGCCGCTCGAGATAAACGAAACTTCCAAAGGAATCGAGTTTTATCAGATTCCCTCGGAATTTGTTCGGCCGAATATATTTAGGTGTTATCTTTCACGCGAACTTCGTCTTTATGTGTTCAGTTTTTAATTCAATTAAGCTTGGTAATGGCCTGTCGAATATGTCAGATTTAAAGCCGGTTAATGATTACGTGAAAGTTGCGGGTATTATGGCAGTAATTTATTACGCTCATCACAGTAAAATTAATTTTATGAAAATTAATTATCGGAAGCCTCAGTTATGATTCCGAGAGAATTGTATACTTATTGACACAAAACTGACTCTCCTTGTACACCTAGAGAGACAACTGCATTAAATAAACAATACTACCTACTGGTTACTACTTACGAGTAAAACTTAATCCTACTCATATTTTGTGAATATTTTTTCATGAATACGAGTTCCATTGTGAAGGGTTTAAAGCAAATTGCCCGAATACCTTGATCCGACGTCATGACGTTGAATATTGTCGTGTAAATTAAATAATTCCAGGAATTCCATTGCAATCATATAGGTGAATATTTCGTTTTTGTAAAACGACCTACCAAAATTTTGCAAATCAATTAAGTACTGCCTATTGTTTTTTATTTCACAATTTCTACATTCCTAATGTTTAAAAATAGCAATGAAATATAATCTACGTTTACATTAATTGTGTCTCAAGTCGGTGGTCCAGTAACAGATTTATTGCCGGACCCAGATTTATACGGTTATGCTAATACAACGCAGTCAGCCTGCAAGTGCATTTAAATCAATGAAAGACTGATCCCGTTAAGCGCCGGTCGTAATTCGCGCGGCGATCGCGAATAACCTGGGTTTACGCGCGACTACGGTGGGCTAGCTCAAGACGACGCAGCACAGAGAATTCTATAGAGAAGCCGATTTAGTTTAATCGTCATCATTTCAGCACAGGATGTCTGGTAATTGGTGAAAATAGGCCGTATCCAGTGTCTTCCAGATAGGCCTGTTGGCTGCATCCAGCCTTCCTGCAACCTTTACATAATTCCTTAATCTGGAGTTTAGGTTGACTGGGCTTTATCCCCATTTAGACCTCTTTTGGTGGTTTTCGTTTGCTACAACTGACCCATACGCTCAACTTTATGTAAACCAAAGAGATAGGAAGGTATTAATGTCAATCGACGAAAAAGAGTCACTAATTAGCAATAAATGATAATGATAATGAAAGTGACTCTACCTACGTATTTTTAATGTATGAGAACTTCTAAGGTCATAATTAGGCTCATAAATTCATAATAAAATTTCCACGGCAAAAGCTAGCTCCAATGAGTGGTACAACAGTTGCAAAAATATAATTGTCACTTAACAATCGCAGGCAATATCCATCTGAGCCAATAAACACTCGCGTTCAATTCCATTGTTTGCCGGGACACAGCCCGGTGACACACTTGTTATGATTAAAACAACGAACGTTCGTCAGAATCATCGCAACTGATATTTATTGAAATAGCGACTCCTATCATTCATTGTTTGCGTTTATACGCCCGTTGCATTTGCACAACGGATTTCGGATTTATGCATTGAAATTATGCTTTCGAAAAGTACATTAAAATTTCAATGATCACTCTTTGTGTCCAAACTAAAGCAGAATTTAATGATGCTATTGTAACTATTATGCTGACGTAAGAATAAAACAGGAAATCTTAATATGGAAATATCTAGCTACTCAAATACTCATAATAAATTAATAATGAAGACAATTTTGGCAATTTCTTAAGATAAGAACTATTTATTGGAGTTTAATTCGCATATGGGTTTTCTTTGGTGATAAACTTTTAACGCACAATTGAACCTTTGTAGTTCCACGCCTCATTCAAGTTTTAAAAATATGTTTTTTGTCTTTATATCAAAACTCTTTTCACAATGACCTTTTGGAGATTCGAAATTTGACAAGAGATTTCTTATTATTTTTAAACACAAAACGACTCCACGATTTCCTTGTTCCATTTTACTACGCTCCATTTGCGCGGCGAACTTTATGATTATCCTACGAACAATTTAATACAGTGCGCGTCGGACGTTTGAACTTGCTTTGAAATTCGCATTCTTCTCGCAAATACCAGGTGGACATTGTTCCTTACATGGCTTTATTAAAAACATTTGTTAGGCTTAGTTAAACTTCAATATTCGCCTGCGAAAATACAGTAGAAAATATCGTTATGACTGCTTAGCGCCAAAATAAATGAAAAAATATTATATCTGAGACTGTTGTAAGCCGCTGTGGATTTATAAGAGTATTTAAGGGCTTTATAAAACTGGAAAGGCTAGTTTTAACAACTAAAAATAAAGCTCCTTATAGCGACTAATAATAAACTTATGGCAGTGTAAACTTTTTTTTTGCTATCTCTCAATAAAGCAGTATCTAGTGGTTCAAAATTTAGATACTTCTTGAAGAAACTTGCTGTAAGTACATTAAATTAATTCCTTAATTACTTCCAAAGATTATCTCAAAATCTACACACGTTAAGAAATGGTTCTACGGAAATCAAAATCTAGTTGCGAAGGTTGTGAAAACATTGAAATACCGCCATCTATCCGGAAACTGGTGAACTACCGCGCTCGAGAGCCTACTTTGTTGTTACACAGCCGAAACGCAACCTTCGTGTCCGCGTACAATATAGAGAAACAAGTTCTCCGTTTTAATTCCAGTATTGGCAGTGTGATGCTCATTGCGGCAATTACACGGGAAAATTTAAGGAAGATTTATTAATACATAACACTATGTATTATTTTTAAATATTCGTTTATTTATTTAGTTACGTGTACATACGTTTGTGCGCTGTACAGTGAACATTATTCCTTTAAAAACGGATAACTTAGTAATCCTAATAAAATAAAAAGCAAACATGTCTAATTATTATGAAATAAGTTCCACAAAGTATTGCTTATTATACCTAAATAAATACAGTAAGTACCTACTTAAGAGTTATGATCCAAAAGAAGTCTTAGATTCGGTTCAAAGCAAAGATAGTTTATTATGAAAACTTCTTTCAAAATGTTATAAGCTATTTTTCTTCTGTAAATATAAACATTTTTAACTACACTGTAGAGTAGTGTAGGTAGAGCGTCAATGTGGAATATACGAAACGAATGTAGAATGTAGATCGATTCCTATTTCTGAAACATCACTACAAAAATATCGATGATTGTAAAAATAAAACGGCTCAAACACGTGCTGAACCTTCTTTCATAACAATTTCAATGGTAATAAAATTAAAATCGTAAACGTTATAAAAGCATTTTACAATAAATTGCGGAATCCCATTAAACGTGTCGGCAAAAACTCGCGCTAGTTGGAGATGATGTGTGGCCCAGTGGGCTGCGTAGACGCACGTCATTGTTTGATAATCCCCACGGCTTGTTGCAAAAAATGTGGGAACAACAACGTTGCAGTTTAGTGAGGCGACTGTTCGATACGCATTTATCGAAAAAATATCAAATTGACTGGGAAATAAAGTTTATGATTCGAAAATAATAAAGGGCATGTAAAATATTACTCCCGTTCTAGAGTAAGAGTCATTCTATTGAGCAGGCTGAACTGCTCTCCATAACATTAATTTGGTTCAGAGAGTTTTATCATTTACTTAAATGTTTTA